TTTTGTCATTGCGTGACAGTGAAAACACTCTATTACTTCCGCTAAGAAGAGAAAATTTGTCTCGTTTTCCGATTTTTCCTCTACCCTTTACGAGAAATAAGGTACTTCACTATCTGCAAGATAAAATATTTTGAAATCAAACTTTGATCCATTTTAGATTGATATAACACAAAGAACCCGTTTAGGCGATGAGAGAGTAGAAAAACATTCCAGAAGGAAAGACTCGGTTATCTGGCAATTTCAAGTTGGTTTAATGCCGCAATATTGCAAAGTCAGAGCTAGGAAAATAACTGAAGAAGTTATACACAGTCCGGTTCCAGTAGAATTATACAAACTTATGATAAATGAACAGTAAATTAACTGATTTGCTCCTTTTTGAAAATCACCGCGGATAAAAATCATACGTCCATTTCTTAATTTTCAGCAGATTTTTAGCTGTACTCCTCTCCTCTTCGAAAACTCGTACTCATTTTCCCACCAAACAAAACAGAACTAATCTATTTGTCTCTAAACCTGGCATTAACGATGATAACTCTTCGTCAAACATTAGCGCCTATTAAAGAATGATCTGGATTTAGCTCGATCGAGACAATCAAAATTCCCTTGCTACCATTACATACACAAGCTCTGCTATACAATACTAGTGGAGGGAGGTTAGAGGGAATTAACTTTTGCGAATGTCGCTAAATAGATGTACTCATCCAGAAAATGTTTTCTACTTTAACTGAAAGAAATAACATTTTACTAACAACCCAAAACACTGATCCACATTTTTAACAAGTGTTGTTTGCGCGTTTTCTGCTTTGCGTGACCCATTTCTACCACAAGAGCAAAGAATCGAATTCGAATTGAATGTTTTGTTACTGATACTTATTCTTCATTAGAATTAGGCCCTGAAATAATTCCATTTGATTACCAGGGACGTATCTGTGGAGCTCAAAGACGGAAATTTGTCATGAATCAAATAAAGCCGAAATAAAGGAAAAGCTTCAAAGTTTCAAAATGTGCTCTACTGAAAGAATCCTTCCGCCTGGTACTGATTGATTTATAAAAAGTCTTGAACACTTGCCTAAAAATTTAAACTTGCGATCGATTTTTGAAGCACATGTCAGTCAATAACAGAAATGTAAGAAATAAGGACACATGAACGCGTTTAAGTTTACTATTAACTAAATTCAAACGTCGATTTCCATGATTATGTTAACGAATATCCACATTTGGATTTGTCTTGTCTTTAAAAAAAGCCAAGACTTACCAATGAATGCAGTGGAGTAGTCACTTACAAAACAATAATTATTGATTCGTAAACAGAGTAGATACCAGAAGCAATGACACTAAATAGCGTAGGATTGATGATATTAAACAACTCAAAATCTGCGAACAATCCTTTACTGTTTAGTTATGACACAAGAAAGACAAAGAAAAATGACATTTCTGTTTGTTAAGGGGATGAGCTACACGTACAAATGTGTCATTGATGAATATTAGCTAACAATAGCCATTTTAAGATATCGAACATTAATCAAGATAAACTGGACAAAACAAGAACAAATTAAGGAACCTCCACTGATAATTTTGGATGAATCAAATAATTATTTTCTATAGAATAATGCGGTTAATACTGCCAAAAAAGACGACTGGCATCAATTTTAGCGGTAAGAACAATTTTTTTTTTGACAAAACGGATACCTTTATCATCATTGCCGTTCTAATTTTATTCAACAAAATAGCGTAAACGGAAATTCAAATTATCTATTATTTACTTACCATTTGGAGTGAACTGCAAAACGTTTTTTATATTTATGTCGAATCGGTTTGTAACGTTTTTCTGGTTTGGTCGCTAATTAATTAACCAGACTCCTGTTAATATTGTCTCTGTATTAAGAAAAGGTAAGAGTTTCTATACATAACTCAGTAAACCTTCTGTGAATATTCGATGTTTCGTGGAATCCCAAGGCGATTTCCAAAATTGTTCTGGTTTTGTACTCACCAATTTGGAAGCATACAATAATACAGTAAATTTCCGCCTGCGAATCACGGTTTCAAATCAGTCTACCCGTGAAAACACTTTCAGCTCAAAATCAGTATACACTGATGAAATTTTATAGATATTTCAGTAATTGTTAGATTGAATTTACTTAGCAATTTTCAATCTCATTATTTTTGAGGCTACACAATTTCAAACATAATTCCACACTATAAGTTTCAAAATCCCCAGACTCATTGGCGACTTTGCGCCAAAACTAACTTTGTTGAAATTTTCTCGACAAAAGTACAGAGATTTATCGTTGTGCTAAAGGTCTCAAAATTGATCAGCTGTAAAAAAAAATCGTAATTTTTAATATCAAACAAGAGTGAAATGCTATTTCAAAGCTAACTGAAAGTTTATTCAAGAAGACGAACAATGAATAAGCAACCAAATGAAGTCATTTCCCGAATCCAAAACTAAAAAGGCTTTCATTCATGATTTCAAACGGCAAGCAATAAATTAACAGTACTAGCTATACATCCATTGCACAAATCTTCCCAAGAATAATTCTGCTAAAAGTATGGTAAGAAAACATGTTCTCTTGCGGTATGGTTGTTTCAAGCGAACATTGAATTTTCGGAGGATCGGAGAAAAGTCCATGAAATTAAAATAATTCACCACTTACTAAAAGAACAGTGCTTTGGAATCATCTCATCTTACATGTATTAGTAGCATGTAAATCTACTCTAGCCAGTGGATGATCCTTTCCACAAATTTTGTTCAATTTTAGTTTGCTAGATACATGTATGACCATGGACAGTAGAGGTTTACAAGTTAGGCTAAATCAAACACTTTGCAAACATCGAGGACTAGTCAGGGCATGTAGAGAATCACCGCCGCCGGGCGTTTATTCGAACGTAAGTCATAAACTAGCTTTAAAAGATAAACTCTGACCAACAAAACTATTCGTATTTAAATAATCAGACCAACGGTAAGATGGTGGTCGTCAACGATAAATTCGAAATGGTGAATTTAAACAAAATTGATATCTACAACAATTGATTAATACGACCAATAAAATAATAATAAAAAATTGTGTTCAACACAGCGACAATCAAGTGACGTGTAGAGTAATGCAGCGATTTGAAAGTAAATCATTTTTACAGCTCGACAAGCTACAAAACCAAAATCTACTTTCTCAAATCATTTGCCGCTTACGTACGAAGGAAACTTAATGGATATGTTCAACAAATAATTGTTCAGTTAACATCACATTCTTCGTACAGATTTTGTAAGCCGAACTGCTATACGCCACAATGGAGAATCATCGAGCGACTATGTAACTAAGATCACTAAAGTTAACTGGTTACACTGAGATTATTTACTGGTTGGAATTAGAATTGACCGTAATGGATCACGCAGTATCTCTGACTGCAAGTTTTCTTTCAATTGTAGAGTTATACCTTGGGTTATATATACAAAATCCGAGAACAACATCATTTATTTCTAGTTAAAGTTGTGATCCGTTGGTTACAATGAGTTGTAACGAACAAATGTGTACTATGAGTGGTACAAAAATCTTGCAAAGACTAGAGGCGTTTCATTGGGCGCATTGATGACTTAGCAACCTAATATTCCCGCAAGCGAATGAAATTGTTTAATTGAAATTAGAATACATATGTAGGCTGTTTAATGAGGCAGCATGTTTAAACGAGAAACTTGTTATTCAAACAAGGAAATTCTATTATTCAGTCCCTAGCAGAGTGTTGGTATGTACAGTGTACGGAGCTTTCTTTTTTCTTCTCTCGCTTTATTTAAATTATGCTTCATGATTCAATGTTTCTTTATTTCTTCTTTCTTCCAGTTCTCATAACTTTCATGAAGACAGATCACCAGTCAAGGAATGAAAACATATGGCAAACAAGGTAATTCAAATATACGCCACGCGTGCTCATATGTCCTTCGGCCCATTGTAATGTCTTTTTTCCTACAACAAATTCCAAGTACACGGATCAGAGTAGGAATTACTCTTCAATATAATACAAAGAACGATTTAAGGTAAAATGTCAATAAGCACAATTTAACAATCATTTATCATGGTAAGGAAAGAGTTTTCAGGTGTCCAATGATGGTATAAAACTAGCTTGATTCCTGTTTAACCTCTATATCAAACAACATGCAGTAAATACGGTATAAAACAACTACGAAATGTCTTATTTGGATATAGTGTTGTGTTAACTTCAGCAAAGAGAAAGTTTCGAATTTGGATGAGCGTAAATTCTGTGCTTTATTGTGGATAGAAAAATGAACGAAGAAAATTGTACTTCTTTTGGCTTTTCAGTAATATAGTATAAAAAAAATCCTAATTAAAACAAAGACAGATTATGCTAACACTCAGTCTTCCCAGCTGTCCTCAGTTCAATTTTTCTCCCACTACACAAAAAGGTGATGAACTGATACGCATCCTCGTAAAGCCACAACACCGAATCAAAAGATCGCCTGGCGATTAAAGGACAAAATTGAGCTATACTTAGAGATAGATCCTACACGAAATAAAATTTCAATAAATATCATATATATATATATATATAAATGATGTTGTGGCTGGTAGATTTGCGGCCATGGTACAAAAGCATGATCTGCACAGGAACTCAGTTACTGAAAAATACAAGACAAGAATTTCCTCATGTTAAGCAAAAAGAACCAATCAAAATGCTTGACGTCTTTTACACGTGAAACGTAATAATTGGGGCATGATTTCGTTAAAACGTGATTATAAAACATGAAAAGTTAAGAACTTATGGCAAGAGAGATAAATTAAGCTGTCGCGATAATCATTGCTATGATTTGGCATTGGCAATTGTGAAACGAAGGTAAGAGTAAAGTTTAACTGTAACAGTCCTTAAGACTCCATAGCATTCAAGCCGCTAATTTTTCCAAGGCATATCTCAAGTATGAAATATATCGTTAATCTTATTATTGTAATTTTAGTTGAACTAACCAAAATATTTCATACCATGATCAATCGTTTAGTGCACAAAGCTAGAGGACCTTGATGATGCGATCAGGAGTTAAAATGACCACCATAGTGTTTGTACTGATTTTATCGCTCATGGCCGCTTTCTGCTCTGCTAAGAACAACAAGCAATCAGACACCAAGGTAACTGCATTCATACATATGGTCACTACAGATTTGTTAATACAGTTAATGTTAATTCATGGAGAAACTAGGAATAACGTATCATGTGTTAGTTTACTAAATCAGTCTGCAGGGTGATTAAGAAATGCTCAAGATGCATTCAAAGATTAAGATGGTATGATTACTTGTGCAATCGAACGCTATAGAGAAAGAACATTTTTACGTTTAAAACAATCAAGTGACATCATTACCAACGTGGTAAGTACTATAACATATCTTCGTTACTGAAAAATGAATTTCTTTAATCACAATTTACGCGCGTTCATCTAAGAAACCCAAAATAAACACTTGCAATTAACGGAAATCAGTAAGCACTTCCTCACCTGGATTGAAACGCTAAATGAAAGACAAAATTGTCCAAGGCTACTAGCATTTGGTCATTAAATTTTATCTTTTTTGCAGCCTATTCAATCTTGTCCATCTTGTAATAATGGTGGACAAACCGGGATGTGGACATACATGACATGTGTCCCAGGCGCCCCCGGGGCACCTGGTCGTGATGGAGCCAAAGGAAACCTTGGCAGCCCGGGGAAAACTGGGACCCAGGGACCACGTGGTGCTGATGGAAAGAAAGGAGCAAAGGGAGAGCCTGGGATCCAGGGCTCCGCCGGACAAAAAGGAGAGCGAGGGGACAAAGGGGACAGTGGAACCCCACGACTGGCTTCACACATGAACTGGAAAGAGTGTGCTTGGAAAAAGACAGAGAGCAAAGATTCAGGACTGATATATGTAAGCGAGCAATATCCCTGTGTAATAAGAAAAAATATACTGTTGATGAATTTCTCAAAACGAAGAATTCATCAATATAATTGACTTTCAAGGTTCCATGAATGGCATCATTTTAAACAGTTTCCTTTATTCTTTTTCGTTCAGAACTGTGACTTTGTGAAGAAATACCCGGACACTTCCCTTCATGTCTACTATGCCGGTAACCTCAGGGTTGGCGTATGTGACCGATGCTGTAGTCGATGGCATTTCAGCTTCAATGGAGCCGAGTGCAGCTCTCCAGGAACTATTGACGGTGCATTCTATATGTATACAGGCCGAAACCACTATCTTCACCGTCATCGCCACATTGAAGGTCACTGCAACAACATTCAGAAAGGAAAGGTGCGAGTGGGATTCTGGGTTGGAAAGTGCGTCACAGGCCATAAGCTTGCTGATGGCGACACTGGTTGGCATTCAATGAATCGTATCTTCATTGAAGAAGTACCGAAAGCTCAGCAGTAAGCTCGAGTCATGTGATCATCTGGACTTTGAAAATTACTATTAAATCTGTATTAGTACTGTAAAGAATAAAGAAGTCCAGAATCATTGACACTTAAATATTTTTACCTATTTGTTATATTCGCCAAAGACGAATGACAAAAAATCATTAATTGAAAAATAAGGGCAGTGGCATACTTCATCATCATTAGTAGTTTGTCGCGCCAGTAGGCGCACAAGGCCTCCACGCTGTCTGACCAAAACTTTCTGTCTCGTGCCACCGCTTTGTCTACTTTCCACGGCTTTCACCTGCTTTGGTTCTTTCAATAACATGCTTACCCCATGCATTTTTCCCTATTGCGTCGCACCAGAACAGTTAATTTCACTGATGTGATTTTTCTCAGCCTCCCAAAGAGCAAGTCGTTCCTTTTTTCAGTTTATAGAAGCGATGCTGCTAGTGGTGTCGCCAAAGTACTCAAGGACCTCAAGGAAGTCCTCGGCGAACCCGAGTCACGCTCTTCAACCCTTGCCGATATGTTAACCCCTGTCGGTCGTCATGGAAATAATTATAGTTCCCGTCAGCGGGTGGGGGATGGGGGAGGGAAAAGAGAATTTGTTATCCCGCCCCGCACCATCACCCCGCGAGTCAAGGGAAGTTAACATGATTCCTCTCATTCATCTCTCGCCGTGAGCGGGACCTTTGCTAGCAAAGAAACCATTGGCTATTTTCGAATAACCCATAATACACTCTGTTTGTCCCCCAAATTTGGCCTAAGTTATTGTTTTCACATGCTCTAAGGAAATGGAATAGGCAATCCTCTCATTTGGGAAGGGGGTGGGGAGCGGGGAAAACAGAGTGTATTATTGGGGATTCAAAAATAGAAAAAAGAGGCAAACCAGAGTAGGGACAAACCAGTGTTTTTAGCCCTCATGGACGGGCAAATAAACTGCTTCCATCGTCAAGCCGCATTTCATATAAATTTGGTACTTTCAAAATAACGAACTTAAGGTACTCACATAGGAAACAATGAAACTTAAGTTCAGTTCACAAGTGGTCGTATAGTGCTGGCGTTTCCTCCTTGTCCACCATGCCTTGTCGCTCGTACGTGACTCGAAACGCATAGGCTGCGCCCAGCAGGGGCACCCAACGACGGTTTCCTTCTAAATACATTGTTAGTACTATTTAGGCTACCCAGATTACGTTTAGATGTTCAGAAATGCATTCTAAGCGGCGCTTTAACATTTGTTTCTGTTCGGTCATCCTAGGGGAACTTCAGTCTTTTCGAAGTTACAAGGGTTTCAGTATTATTTTTCCAAAAAATTTAGATGCAATTTCAAGTATTACTAAACTGAGACACAGTTTCTGATTTCCAGGATTTCTCTTTCCACTGTCTTTCCATTGCATTTTTGAGACCAAAAATTTTAGGTTTCCTTTTCTCTGCAAAAAAAAATAGCCTAACTTGGGAAGTGAAATGTGAAAATTAAACTTCAGAAAATCGAAGTGATTTATTACATAAGCTTAGTAAAATTGTACATGAGTGCAACGATCATCTAGAAATTTTTAGCCTACCTCAATTAATAGAAAATTCTAGGCAATATTTGCTTCTCCGAACAGATATTTCACCGAAAACAGTTGTTGGGTGCCCCATGGCCTAGGGACGAAGCAAGTGCTGACGTCACTCGTTGCCAATTCAACCGCGAAGGAGAATGGACCCACAACCTCCGTCGTTTGCACATTCTTCGTCTACAGCTATTTCAATAGGCTATTTCCGAGTTTCAAAATCTTTCACTTTCAAAACGAGGCTCAGTGCAAAAACTTTCTTGTGATAATGAGTCCTATTTGCATGAGAATAAAAAGGAATTTTCACTTCGCACTTAGCCTCGCATTGAGCTTTGGGCAACTCGGAAATCACTTATTGACGAGATCGAAAAGCCAAATGACACCGCATAGCAGTATGGGTAGTTTCATAAGCTCTTCGTATTAAAATCACATAAGTACACGTACTTGACGTTTTATTCCATTCTGTGGTATTGACAACTGCCAAACTATGACCGAATTGCACAGGATTCACAGCCAGCCATATGACCTTGCTATCTTGTTGCATATGTGTTCTTGTATACAAAATAATATCGTCATATGGTGATTGGTTCACAAAGGTTTGACCCTCTCAAACGACATTCAAACGCCACCAAGGGCACCAACTCGAGGCTTTGATGGACAAAATACAGTGATTTGCATGAAATGGAGAGGGGCCTAGTTGCTTTTCCACGGTTTTCTTCAGCGACGGTCGATTTAATCGCCAGAAACGAGGGGCACAAGAACAACACATTTTGTGACTGTACACGAACTATTGAGTAATAGTTTATTTTGACATAAAACTTAATATGACAGCTCCGGCTTAAAGCTCTACATAGTTACTCTGATATCAAGTGTTGTAATCACTAACTGGGGAAGGGTTTGGGGCATACTTCTGAAAGTACATTTGGCAGTCTGCTTTCCACATTTTGGAACAGACACAAGATCTACTACAGCAGTCTTGATCATGCATACATCGTTAGAACGGTATTCACTGAAGTGACGTACAACCCTCTCTAGCCAATCACAAAAGACTGGACGGAAGGTTGCCAACAGGCGGGAAGAGAAATTGACACGATATATTTTAACCAATCACAAGGAGTTGAGTGCAGATAGGATATTTGGGAGATTATTTTCCGACACATCACTGAAACCCGTTCTAAACAAACTAACATTCCAAGGGACATGGCACGAAATCTTGCATGCCACGGAAATTAAGATCCGTTTTTCTTCTTTTTTTTCGAGTCAATATACAATATGTTTAAGTTTGCAGTGCTTTCTTCTCTGCAAGCTAATTTCTGAACAAAACAAGTCTGGTTTGGTGGGCGGAGAGAACACAATGATTAGAAGGGGAAAAGAGACAAAGTTTCTCTGTTGCCTACTTAAATCTGCATTATTAACTACATACTCTACTTACACTTTCACGAGCACAAACATCAACAACAAACAGGGACACGTTTACTGTACAGCAGTGCGATAAAGACAGGTTCCTTTTTAAAAAACTCCCAGGTCTTTATAACTCTTCTTTTTGTTTTGAAGTTTCTTCCCTTGCTTCTTCCTTGGCAATCAGAAGCAACAGAATAGTTTTTGCAATCAACCAAACTTGGAACAGGGAGTCCGACAGTGGAGGGGGGCAAATATTACATCAACAGTCACGTTATAATTCAGACCATCTATACTAACGTATCCTTCTTCTAAGGGTGAGTTAAAAAGCCTTTCCATGTTCATAATATAAATCTAAATTATTATATGTACTTATTCACACTTCAAAAGGACAATATTCAGATTTTATAGAGATATTATGGAGTGTTTGCAAACAAAGAAAAATTGTTGTTAATTGATTTTCGGCGAGAACGTATCCTTGAATTCATTTTAAGACAACACAAAAGCCGTCTTTCTTGCTATCATTCCAGAACTCCACCTTTAAATTTAACTTTATCGACTGGGCACCATAAGCGGATCTTACAAATAGCTGAGTTCTCGGTACTTAAGAAAACAAAACATCTCTCCCACTAAAATCCGATAGAAAATACCTTTAGAACAAGTTTTCTTTGCCTGCACACTTGATTTTCTCAAGAAGTAACAAATTTTAGTGCTCGAGTTACCAGCGGAACTCTTTATAAGAAATTCGACTTCTAGAATAAAGTGTTTAATTTCACAGAAGAAGAGAACCAAACAACGCAATGTGACGACGACCTCGTGTATAATCCCCCGTCCCCCACCCCAACAAATTTCTCCGTCTCTCGGCCCAGTACATCACAGCTTACTCACAAAGTCCTGTGACAAACCACAGAAAACTAAAGGCTACGCATCCTGCATGATTTTGTACACTACTTACAAGGGCTGGTATCTGACATAATTTCTCGCTGGTATGTTTGGAGTAGACAGTGAGGCGGATGCCTTATGGTTTCCCCCGTCCCGTATTGGAATAAAAACAGCCGAATGTTATGTGCCGCATATCCGCAAGCAGCCTGAGAAAGGGCTGAAGGCTCGATGAAAAGTTGGGGAGGGAGAAGAGGGAAGCCATCACAGAAGTTCATACTGGCGCAAATGCATTCGCTGGATTATGTCTCGGCAGTCGTTAAACACCCGTCGAATATTCTCCGTGTCTACTGCGCATGTGAAATGTGGATAACAATAATGTTTACCATCTCCACTGGCTGTACTGATTCGCTGAAAAAAAGTAAAAATACAACCGTTAATGAATTTACATTCGGTGGAACTGAACGCTCAGCTGTAGTGGCAGTGATAAAGAACGCAAATAATTTCCTGTTGGCATGAACGAACGCGAGTCTGCATTAGACCTTATTAACGATACCGCCATCTTGACATGAGCTTAAAAAAGAAATGTCAGGTGGTTTCAAACAAAAAAGCAACCAAGTGATAAAAGCCACCAGTGCAAAAAAATCGCCTGTTTCTTTCCTGTACGCAGAAGCGAACGTATAAGTTCTCACAGCAAACAATAATGACGTAAAACTTGGCGAAGCTCGAACTAAAAGAGTCGTCTCGTTTTGAGAGCATTAAAAAACTCTCCCGCAATTACTCGCACTGGGAAATTTTATCATTTGTTTGCCCCCTGAAATACCACATGGTATTGCTTTTAATCCACTTATTCCACTGATCCTAAAGCGCGTGCAATGATGATACGCAGGTAAGGTTTTGAAAGTTGCAATGTATTCATCATTCAACTTTTTCATTTTACCATCATCCCCCACAGGTTCGTGGGATTGGTGGGGGATGGGAGGTACGCTCTCCCAATATTATTGGGTTTTCGTATTAGGCGGCGCACATGACTTGTGTATCCTGAGTGACCTGACGAAGGATGATTACATTGCAAAGAAGATCACCCCAGTTTTAAGACGCAACTTATGAAGTTGAGGGATGAAAGCCTGCAAAAATTCAGTCTTACAAGGATTGGATCCCTGACACCTCTGCGATATCGGTAGAGCGCTCTACCCAATAAACCGATGATCTCCTTTGCAATTTGTTTCTACTTCGCGCAGTTCCAATAAATCATATTCATATATTTATTATTTAATTGAAGTGTACGCGACAGGAATTTTCTTTTGTCGTTTTTAGTTCTACAATATTTGCAAAATATGTATTTGAAATTTAAACTCGTCAATTATCTTGCCAAACCTCTTTTTTTGTCCTCAAAACTCGCGAATTTGCCTTCACGAATGTCCGCCCTATCGCGTGGCCAAAATGACAAGTATGACGTAAAAAGATTCGGCGTAAGTTAACAAAGTGGCAGAAACAAAGAACGAACATTATTTCCCACTGGTGCGAATGCACATGAGCCGTTATGACGTCAAATGAATAAGCCACTTTACAGTTCGAGCTGCACACCCATTCCTGTCTCTTACTCTTGAATATAAATACGAATATAATCCAAAAAGTGTAAGATGTTTTAGCATAAATAGAAACTAAAAAACAGGGAAGGATTGAAAATTCTAAGACGTCAGGGAAAATCTTTACTTACAAGAAATTCATCTCGAATAAAATATTTAGCTCTTGTCACTGATTCCTCATCTCCAGGCTCCGCTGTGGCTGGAAAAGAAAGAAAGCATCATAAATGTGTGACCTACTTCATGCCTAAAGCAACTAATAATCTGGTGTCATATAAGTAAGGACCGGTCTTCTGCCGATATTATTGCTGAAAATTAAAGGATACCAAAGAGAGGCAAATTTTAGGGAGCGTAAGCCATATTGGGTGGTATTGACAGAGACTACATAAAGATTACCAGAGCGTGATTGGCACGATGTATAGGGATGAACAAAAGCAGTAAATTTAAATTACTCAATTGAAACAAGCAGGTAACAGTTTACATGACCAATGATAAACAAAGGGAAGTGCTTGCAATTTAATAATATCACTGTTTTTGCTCTGGGAAAAAGGCATAAAAAATTCTTGTCTATCTTACCATCTGGAGGAGTTCTATACCGAGCAAAGTCCGGGAAATAGTCCTCAATCTTGGACTTTCCAGCCCGCACCTTTTCTTTTAACAAGTCTTGCTTGTTAAGAAACAATATTACTGAGATTGTTCTCAGCCATCTGAAAAGAAAACAATGAGCACATTAACAAGTTATACGCACTACAGGTGTATTGTTGTAACAATAATTACTGAATGAGGCTGGGTATGATATGAAGAATTATACAGGAGGTGCTATACACCTAGGCCAAAGGCCAAGGCGGGCAACCGCCTCGGAGACCTAATTCTTCATAATCATATGGAAGCCGAAGTCTATAATAGTTTTATTAGTCATTCAAAATATTTCAAAGTTCTTAACAACCTGGCCTCATCAAAAACTTTCTTAAAAACATTCGCCTGTTTATTGGCACCATTGCAGAATAATGAAGAAATCATTTTTTTTGTTGCAGATACTCCTTAAAAGGTGACAACATTCACCACGCATTTTGCATTTTTTCCCAATCAGTTGAAGTCAGTAATTTGGGTATTTTGTTTGGATAGCTGTGAAACTTTTCCCATTTTCTTGCCATAACAGCTACAACTCTAGGCTGCAGTGCCACTTCCTCAAGTAATGTGGTTCTAATTGTTTTATTGGGGTAATATACCATTGTATTAATGATAATGCTTGCATCTTTCAACTTAAGTCGGTACCAGATGCTTGTGAAGAATTAGCTGGAGGATTAACCATTGACGCTCTGAGAGTGATCAACATAAAATTTCTCCTTGAAATGTCAATGATGAGGACATGTCACAAAAGACTAATCTTACAAGTTGATACTTCAACAAATTCTCCCCACTAGTTGTATTGAAAACATACAGGGACAACAAATGAGAATTTGAATTTTCATCGTCAGGTTAAAAGGGTTAAAGCCAATCAGAAAAGGCAAAAGTTTTAATAATTTTTTTTTTTTTGTAGCCAAGTGTCCTTTATTCCCTGAGACAAAAATGCTGTCCTGAAAAAAAAAATTGATATTAAATATTCTTACAGCAGAACCTTGGTGTAATGAAGGGCAAAGGGAATGTCAAAATCTGTTCACCATAACAAGGTTTTGTTGTATCAGGGTTCTTTTTCATATATTTTACTATCACTGGGGCAAAAAATATCATCCGTTATACCAAGGACTTGTTTTAGATTAGTTACATCGAGGTTTCACTGGAATATGTAACAATTTACACCTCACTTGTATGCCTCTGAAAAAGGAAAACTAGATCCATACAAACCTGTTATTCCAAATACTTCTGAACAATTCAAGAGATTCCTTCAACCGGTTCTGTAAAACAACCATAATAATTATGTTCATCTAGGACATATATTTTACACCGCAAAACTCATAATACATATATTTACTTGACATTGTCCACCAAGGAAATGTAGTAGATGTAGTGTGGAGTACTATGTATAGTTATTGAAAGCAATCTGTACTTACTAGGGAGGAGAAGTATGATGTCACATTACCATGGTAGCATAATTTCTGGATGGCGACAACAGGCAGCTCAAGCAACGACCGCAACAAAAACGAGAATAGCAAAAGAGCAATAGGTTTGTTGTGCGAAACAACAAATTTGCATGTGCAGCACACTTTTTTGTTATTTCCTAGCCATTGATGCACGACTGGGACATGAAACTTCCTAATTTGACGTGCCTGCTTTATGGAGTTGGTGAACACAACACAATAATTTCCTTTTCTTCTTCTTAACTAAGACAGAGTCCTTTTGGATTTAACCCCAGAAAATTTCACCAAAATTTGACAAAGGAATTGAAATTGAATAAGCTTGAGGAGGTTTGAAACAGTGCGAATTCACTTTTTGTTGTCATCCAGACTTTTTGCTACCACGGCAACGCGACGTAACAATGTCAGTGTTCTCCTTATCAGGAGGTAACTGATAACATTTACTGCCTGAATCAACACTTCTTACCACCTGCAAGAGCTTGAAGGTTTACTAAAACTAAAAAAAGAAGTTGTGATCCGATCTGATAATCACACGGAAAATGAATAAAGTGGGAAAGTACTAAAAGTATACCCAGCTTTTCTTTTTATGGGCCACACATTTTGGAAAATTTAAATTAATAGAACACTGAAGACAGAGCAGAATTATTGGAATCAAACGTTTTAAATTGTCATCCAAAGATATCAGCGGACATTTTGCATAAAATAGGTCTTACAATGAGCGAATGATGTTTCAGAGAACTTCCCAGCGAGGGCAGGGCCATGTCACTCACTCCACAACCCCCTTCCCCCACAGGAAAGTGCACCTGATCTGGTGCATATTTTTTACCTTACTGGCCAGGAATGGTCCTTTACCTGCTGAGCTAAAATTTAGGGAGAACACTGACAACTTCCCTTCTCTATAGTGTTTCCAATTGTTTCCAAAGACAATTAAATTTGTTAACACCATATCTCATGGGGAGAGGAAGAGGGGTATATTTTACTTGACTCCGAAAAAGGGTCCATTTTGTCACATACATGTAAACCCTGATTACAGTAAAACCCCACGACTATGAACCTGGATTTTAAGAACCTGTTTGGCTTAAATTAATTTTCCAGTTAAGCCCCCTCTACAATAAGAACCTGTCTAGCCTAAAACTTGAAACAGGTTCTTACTTTCTAAAATCTATGAAACAATTCTGTACACTTTGATAAGTCAACATTCAGAATCCTTTTGGGAGACATAAATGCCTTATCACTCCAACTGCAATGCAATGGTATGCAGATTTTATAAGCTGAACCACTACATACTCTTACCTATATTGTATTTTTTTTTCTTTAGAAAATGAGAACCTTTTTAAGAAACTCAATACACTAAACTTGTGCTAAGTACCATTCATATAAGGACCTGTTTAGACTGACTTGGAAAAATCCAGGTGTTTAGTCGCGGGGTTTTACTGTATTCTCAATCAAGCTCAAATGCAATACTAGGTTAAAACTTGATGCAGGCAAAGAATAAACATAAATGTGCAACAATAATAATGTGCAGATATTTTTCCCTTAATGTCTCTACCAGGATTCTTATTTTTCTCAATATTTTTGTCTGAAAAGGGGTGAACAGGTACAGAGGCTCAAAGACACCACAGCACAGTTCCTGCCTAGTAAAGTTAATTTAAGGGAGTAGCCTCATGGAGCACCACTTACCTGGCTAGGATCTTCTCTTAGTACCAAATTGTAACTACTGCATGCAACCACAAATATTATTGCTGTAACATCTGAAAAAGAAGCATGAAAAATATAGTCATTAGCGCCAACAAATCAACTGGCAATAATCCTGAATTTTAACAGCAGGGTTCTCCAGAAGCTCCAATGCCCTTCAAAAATTGCCGTCTTGTCATCTACTCAAAGAAAATAATTTTTTGAGCAGATAACGAATTTGTCATGTTTGTACCCGTACGATAACACTTCATTAGATGAAACAAAAATTAGGTAAAACAAAGCGAATGTTAATGTAGGCAAGTGAAATTCCCATTTTCATGGCTCAAATCCCTTCCCTAGTTGCTCAAAGTGCACTGAAATACATTTTTCAAGGCCCTCAAAATCACAATTCTACACTTTACAACCCCCCAGATGTCTCCAGTGGAGGAGGGAGTCCCCTTCCATACCTACCCCTACCCCCACATGCGAGTGACTTTCGATCTAATCTATATGTATTGCTGCCTACTTAAATGTTTTCTCCATCTTCCAATCATATTTTCTAGAGATCCCTGCAACAGTAAACTAATTTACAGTAGCAACTCAAGTTTGTAATCTATTACAAACTGCTCACCGTTAAAGCACTGTATCCATTTCCTCCTTTCATCTCTCTGTCCTCCCACATCAAACATACTGAGGAGGTTAAAACACGGATGTTCAGTTAATAAAAAGATCCTTGAACGTCAAACCCGCTGACAACTGTGATAGGCAGGTTAAACTTCTCACAGGACTCATACAGAATTTCAGCGCAGTTAAAGTGAGCCTGCAGCCTGCAGCAATTTTGCTGCTTCCATTGGAATATTTGCCACCTACTCATCACTTAGGTTTAATAATTTTAAATACAAACCACCCAAGTTTAGGCATTTGCTGCCGGCTATTCTTGTTTTCCTGCCTACCACTGCAAAACATTTTGACTAGGCAGAGACTTTGGGGTGCAAAGTTCAAAACTATCCAATACTATCCCCACTTTTTCCAAAAAAAATTTTCTTTTTTCTAGACACAAGGTTATCATACAGATAAAAACCTCGACAGAAACGCAAGAACCAAGTTTTTCCCAATTTTTTTTTTTTTTTTGGCACTGTAAATGCATAGAAACCACAGTGCAATGAAAACATAAAAAAAATAAACCACTAATTTTTTCCCCCACAGACAAGACTTACACCTGTAAGTAAGAGTTGCTAGCAATTAAGCATGGCTGCAGTTTTGAAAAAAGAAGAACAAAACAAACAAAAACAAAACTCTAGAGTTTTTACCATTTTTCACATCTGGAAAACTGGTTTTCAAATTCTTTTTCAAGAATTTAACACCCTGCAAGAAGCCTACCAAAACTCCTGTTGACTGCTGGTCACTGTTACCGGTAAACTACTCTGAACAGAGTCAGGAAGCAAAACTTACTGAAACTTCACTTTGTCAACTTGAAATCTTGTTTCAATGATTCCTGATGTCAACACACGACATCTGAGCAGGTCCTGAAAGTAGAAGTACATGGCAAGGATTGCATTAGCTGGCAAGCAAAGCTCTCCAGTGCTTTCTGGCGGCAGAATCAAAGGTGGCACAGTTGGTTAGTGTGCCGCCTTTGGTACACGACGTCCCTAGTTCGATCCACAGGGACATCACATCCTTGTTACAACCTTCTCCTTTGTCTCGCTTTGACTAGCTTTAAATACACTTAAAATGGAGCATTGATGGAGAGAGGGGGGTAAAATGAGCACACCGTCAACCTCAGGTTTATCAGTTATATATTACTACTGTCACGAGTTATTGTGAATGTGGATGCTTTACCTTTACCTTTCACCTTTAGGGCAGGGTTGTCAGAAAGATTTGAAGTAGATGGCTGAGTTGTCAAAGTAAGTGGCCAGTCCAGGGATACTTTATCTAAAAAGCGTCACCCGTAAAGAAATACCAAGCAGAGGAGCTGGCCGATACTAACCAAATAGGTGGCGATTTTCGCTGGCAGCCAGTTACTTTTGACAACCCTGCTTTAGGGGAAAAAGGAGGGAGATCCTGCAGTCACATCTCGTTATGGCACACAGCCCTTAATGCATTCCTGCATGTATTAAGGGTGCACTTCAGCAGTCCCCCCCACCCACCCCCCATGGTCTTGCTTATTTGAAAATTGTAAAATTGACACTTTTTAAAAGAGTCTTTCACAACTTTCAAATTAAAATTAAGTAACTATGCTGTGCAGGGATTTCAATCTTTAATACCAAACGTTTTCTCCCAGACAAATAACAACTTTTAGCTTTTTTTTTCACAGAAATCATATGCCTGGGCACCCTGCATTTCACAGGTTCAAAAGACTGCGCTCCTTTCCATTTTTCTAAGAGAACAGCATTGATCTGTGTATGTTTATTCTAAGTTTTGCATTTTTATGTGTTCTGTTGTACAACTTGAGAGCAACAAAAAGCCATTTCAGAACCAAAAATGAAATAATTATAATCCAAGCACACCAGAACAACAACTACATGCATCTTCTTGTTTATCAGCAGACTTTTTCTGTTTCTCTTCACATCCAATTTTCAACTACAACAGCAAACATAAGCCACCGCAAGTAATTTAACGCTGGACAATGAGAAGATAGCTAGGGGTAGGGTCGACATAGTGCTTAGGCACCCAGTTAACTGAATAGCGTACCTGTTCTACTGGCAGGTAGTCAGCTTGTTTGACTGTATCAACCCTGTCCAAGAAACTGGAGAGGAAAAAATACAGTAATTATTATTGCTAGTACCAACTCAGCCCTTTCAACCCTAGTATCAACACTGTTCATCAAACATTTTGTGTCATACCGATG